AGCGATCGCGTGCATAGAAGCTTGCCAGATCATGACTGAGTCTTGGCTGGACCGTGTCTTGTGCACCGGGTGGTTGCAGGTTGTAGTTGAAGCTCTGTGTGCTAAGGAAGGGTGCGCTGCTCTTTATGGATGGGCACATCGAAACAATTTAACCCTGTTCAAAACAAAGCCGAAGCTACATATGCAGCAGGAAATCATGCACCTTCTCTGCAATGCGTGTTGTTGTTTGAATTTGTTTTGGGCTTTACATCTGTGTCAATGCGCTTAGGGAGTGGATGGGTGATCAAATTCGGCGAGAAGCTAGATATGTGATGTCGCCTACCTGTGTCTTGCATGCAAGTAGTCTTGCTCTTGCAAGTGCAAGTGCAAATGTTGTTGTTTGATGCTTTCTGGCAGTACTGATCACTTAGGCTTCAGCACATGGGTGGATGAAGACTTTATAGGGCGGGAGCCTTGTCTGAACCACAAGTGGTTTGTGGCCACATGCATGGCAACATGACCTTTTCATGCATGCAATCATTCGTCATTAGTCTTGCATACATGACCTCATGGCTCTTGCATGCATGAGGACATGCTGGTTACATGCATGGCACCATTGATGCATCCATTCCATGCATGACAAAACATGACTGCATGCATGGCCATGGTGCATGCACAGCTTTCATGGCATGCATGGCATGCAAGGTGTCTGGAATGCATGCATGCTTGTAGTAGGGTTTTTGATTGTGTATGCCTATTGCTATGTTTTGTTAAACACCAGCACCATGTCTCTAAGCTGCTGTTGGCCTAAGGTCTCACGCACTTCGCGTCGATGCCACCCATGGGGATTGGCAATTCGTGTTGCTCAAAGGGCACTGGGGCACTACAAACGGTTGTGGTCCCGAAAAGGATGGATCGATCGTGCTGGGTGACCAAAAGCTTGCTTATGCTGCTTGATGGGCAGGGCTCAGGTGTTGGTGTAAGTTTCAAAAATCATCTCGAGCACATTTTTTTTCAGGGAGTCTCCTCGAGCAGAAAAATTGAACTCGAGCAGAAATGTCGTGGTACACATTTTTGTGTACCACTGGGTGGTCTAGGTTAAGAACTTCTCTCATGGCACAGGCTGGTGATTCTTAGCCTCGTGAGATGATTGACAATGATTCATAGTGCATCGCAATACACATCCCAGATTCCAGATACTCCCCATGTGTGGAATATGTGCTTCATTGACCTCCAGAAACCACCCCAAAGTAGGCCAATATAGGCAGTCCCAGTCCCAGACAGGTCGTGTCTGGGCCGTCGATGTGGACCCGATGTGCCGCCGATGCGTCTGCCGTGCACCGGTGTCTCCAGTATAAGATACTGCTCAAATCTGAGGTATGCCGGTATCTGAGCACATCTCTGGTTCCACAGCCCATCCAAACCATCCACGCTCACAATCTACATCATTCTACATCCATCTGGGTCTCCTGTTTGGGCGGGTGCTCGAAGACCGGCGCCCCATAGACCTCGCTCAGCGCATAGTCCAGGAGTAGGTCGGACTTGAAGGTCTCACAAACGACTAAGGCGGTTTGAATGCAGCGCAGGTAGGGTGAGGTAATCACCACCTGAGAGGCAGCGGCGCGGGGCCATTGGTAGAGGAGAATGGTCTGAAAACAGGGGCCATGGAAAACCACCTTCCATGTTGGTGAGTCGGAGGGTATGCCGGCATACCCCATATAAACGTATACTTGTGATGAGACAAATTCCCCGTACGAATCCGTGTGTCGAGGTTTTACAATCGTGAAATAGAATCAAAATCCTACATTGCCAGCAGCCGATGACGATGCTCAGCAAAGGCCTTTCTCAAACATTGTGATATTGTTCGACCGACGGTTGCTGGTAGTGGGACACACCCGACATCCACTGTTTAAAGGGGTCTGTGCTACACTTGCCTAACTGCCCTAACTGTCCTGTGGCCCAAGTAGGGTGAGTGGTGAAGGTGAAGAACAGCATGCTAATTGTTGCTGTTGTGGCTGACAAATTCCATGATGAACAACAATCAGCCCAGCATTCCACAGGCCATGTAGGCCAAACATGGGCCACACAAAAAGGAGTGAAACACCACATGTGACATGGGACTGCGTGACTCTCTCATAGGGTCAAATTTGGCTCCTTCCTCCTCACCAAAAAGGTGCTTAAAATTGCTTAAACACTTCATGGATTGGGACATGAGATGAGAAGTTGGTCGTCGGAGGAGTTTCAATTTCAGATCCGCATGCAAAAAAAAACTCTGACAAAGTCGTAACAAAACCCGCCCTAAAAGGCAACAGAATCATCCAAAAACACATCTGCACCTTTCCAAAAGCGCGAATTGATGCCCAAAGACTCCATCTATGGAATGTAAAATTATACAATACACATTAAATCTAATGAATTACTTATACACTGACCCCGACCCCTTTTCGACCACCCCCTCATCAGGAGCCATATGCCAGTCCCAAACAGGTCGTGTTTGGACGGCAGGTTGGCTCGTTGCCACAACCTCGCGATGCAGCCCCACCGTGGGATGCACAGGCAGCTGAAGGCCGAAGGCACGTCAAAGGCTAAGCCTTCCTTCAGCAACTCTTTGGCCGCAAGCTCAGCCTGTTGAAAGCCATTCCTCAGCTGCTGTCTGAAGACTCTTTGTGGTCAGACAACGGCCAGAATGCAACAAAGATTGGGATTGCCCCCTGAAACTGAGACGACTAGACTAGTCATGACTAGTCATGGATCGAAACTGAGAAGGGAAACATACCAACCCAGGGCGCCCGATCGTTAGAGCCCGCCGTCGTTGAAACAGCAGCAGCGGACGTGCTGTGCTGCCAATTTCTCCGGACGGACGTTCACACCGAAGAAAGGGAAAAAGGGATCGACCCGGGTGCCAAAGAAGCCGCATGGACCATTGAAACCAGATGAAAACCAGTGGGTGTTGAGATGTGTCATATCCATGTGGGAAAAAGGATCGATGGCCCGACCGGAACCGTTCCGACCTAACTCCAAAGCTTCCCAGGCCTGGAGACTGGAGAATCATCCATGGCCCCATGAGCCCCATCTTGGCCCGACCAACCATCCTCATGCCCCAAAGCATCCATGGGACGGGGCCGATATAGATTGGGGCCCCTTGGATAACCACCCCAACTGATCGGTAAATGTGCCAGTCCCATGGAGTGTTCGGGATATCAGGTATATAGTGCATTGAGAGTAGATGGCACAACCCCCAAGAGGTGGTTGATATCGACCCCTATCTAAAGTACATCTTGGGGTCTGTGCCATCGAACCTCTGAAACCACTGTACTAGTTCTTTATCGATTTTCTTCGGGTCGTGGATGAACTCATCCGCCAGACTTCCGATCGCTGATTCTGGTCGGTGGTGATTCGGCCCATTGTGTGCTGGCGCTGTCCTACCCCGTTGGCCGAAGGTAGGCGGTGTGGCAAAGAGTCTAACCCATCCTCAGAATTGGAAATCCTTGATGGGAGTACTATGGGGGGTACAACAATTAAGAGTTGACATGAACTGGCATGTCATTGTCCCACCCAGTTCCGCCCAGCATCGGCGTCAAGGGCGGATCGTGAGGAAACCGCTCCGCGTCCTCCGGTCGTTCAAAAGGGTGTTCACTCAAAAGTTTCAGATTCGGAAGCTAGGTGGAAGTCAGGTCATTTTTCCAGGGAGGGGCAACTTCAAAAGTCACGATCTCGTTCTGCAATGAAACAACAACCATACAAAAGAACGCCATGAAATCCCCAGTACCTAGTCCATTCCCATGGAGTTGTAAACATCATAGTCCAGTCCCGTGAAGTTGTAAATATCATAGTCCAGTCCCATGGAGTTGTGTAAACATCATGGTCCAGTCCCGTGGAGTTGCAAACATCATAGTCCAGTCCAGTGGAGTTGCAAACATCATAGTCCAGTCCCATGGAGTTGTATAAACATCGTGGTCCAGTCCCGTGGAGTTGTAAACATCATAGTCCAGTCCCGTGGAGTTGTAACAATCATAGTCCAGTCCCGTGGAGTTGCAAACATCATAGTCCAGCCCCATGAAGTCGCAAACATCATAGTCCTGATAGTCCAGTCCCGTGGAGTTGTAAACATCCTGGTCCTAGTCCTGTCCCATGGAGTTGTAAACATCATAGTCCAGCCCCATGAAGTCGCAAACATCATAGTCCCGATAGTCCAGTCCCGTGGAGTTGTAAACATCCTCGTCAGCCCCTCGCTCCCCGAAGGCTCGTCCTCCGAGCAGCCCCACTCGTCGAAGGCTTCCGGGTCATCCGCGCGCTGGCCGTGCCGCAGGGCGCAAACGGAGAGCCGCCTCCTAGATGTGGAGATCTTGGCTATCCATATCTTTGGATCAATCATCCCAAGGTTGCAGCTTGACCCTCAATTTCTCTGAAACCGTCAGTGAGTTCAGCTAATGAAGGGCGTGAAGGGTTTGTAGTGGTCTAGTGCCAAAAGGTTGATCAAGAGATGTGTGAGGTGACAAGGACTCAAAAGGCTTTCGCAGTGATGAGACGGGACTCTTCTTGGAGATCAAGAAAACATGTGGCAAAAATTGGCAGAAGCGATCTGAAAACATGAGGGGCGCTTCACCTCCCCTGGAATGCTTGGAGCATAAATTAGTGTGACCCCCATCTGAAAACAACATTATATTAATTATATATATAGTCTAGTGTGCATCCATTTTCTACGTAGGCACACATATAATCTATATAACATTCTTAAGGGACATTTCTCACAAATATGGTAACCTCAAGGCACTGTGTACTCCAAGCGCTCCTGGCTTTGGGCGTCTTTAACGGCTCATTCCACTGCGCCAACTCGAGGCTCGCACCACGCATGTGTTCCACGTTCGGCTCGCGACCCCGTGCCGCGTTCATGGGCGACGCACGTGGCGGGCGCAGGGTGGTGGAGCCCGGACCAGAGTCCAGCCTGGCTGGTGGTTCAATAGGAAAGCAACACCCTGACAAAACAAGAGTTCCACCTGGTACAAAAATTCCTGGATCCTGTTTAGAAAAAAAATTTCGAAAAGAGATATACTTGTATAATACCCTGTGGTCTTTTCAGGTAAACAAATGTCTCATTCCAGATGTTCCACCGATGAACATTCAATCATATAACCCGCGTCGGCAGTCGGATGCGGATGCGACCGAGTTCGACCAAAGGAATTGCAGTTCCCCCTATCTGTTGACCTCATTTGACTGAATCCATGACTTAAGTCATATCTGGGCACAGTTTTGGCCACATGGACTTCAGAAATCACTCATCTAAAGTAGGCTAGCCGCCAGCAACCACAACAATCTTAGGATACATCGCAGGAATTACCTCTTTTAATTATCAGCGACCAAATCTTGCAACAATGGATCAATGTTCATTCCTTTTCACTTCTCCAAAACGGTGTACCTTTCTCACCCTTTCTCCACATGAGACAAGTCGAAAAGGAACATTACCGAAACAAACCATGAGGCAGGTTCGTTTTGGATACAATATCCAAATATATATGTACCCTGATCTTCCAAACGCTAAGTTAAACTTGGCATTAGGTCAAAT